CCAGGCTGGTCTCGAACTCACAGAGATCCACCTGCCTCTGCCTCCTGAGTGCTGGGATTAAAGGTGTGCGCCACCAACATCCGGCCAGAACTCAGTTATTAGGGCTTGTAGTATTGTTGCTTCCTTAAAGAGGGCATGCCTAAATGATAAAAATCTAGGGGATTCATGCAGGAAAGGAGGGGAGCCCTGTGCCAAGAAAATAGACTATTTAGTAGATATGGAGGAGGGAAAAGAGGACCCTGGGCGTTGTGAGACAGAACAAGTGAGATGAGAACATTGAGCAGAGCCCTGACATTGGCAGGTGCCCATAGGGACGGTGTTCCAGGATGTTTGAGTTGCATGATAAAGCAGAGATTTTGTCTGTGTTGGGACCTGAGAGGGGGCCTGAGGGCTAGGACCAGAGTGGCTGGCAGGGTTGAGGATGGGTCACACGGGCTGTCTGAATGTGATTCTTAGCACAGTGGTCTTTGATCTTAGGCAGAAGATGAAAAAGTTCATGCAGGTGACATGGCACATGCCTATAATCCAAGCATTTGTAAGGCAGAGGCAGGAGGATTACCAGTGAGTTCCCAGGACAGCAAGAACTACATAGTGAGATCTTAAAAAAACAAAAAGACAGATATATGCGTATCACAGGGCAAGGACTGGTGGTGTAGGTTTATAATCCCAGCTGTTTGGGAGGCTGAGGCCCCTCAAATTCAAGGCCAGCCTTACATAATTAGTTCCAAGTCAGCCTGGAGATTTTAGACCCAGTTGTTTCTATTTATTTATTTATTGGTTTTTTGAGACAGGGTTTCTCTGTGGCTTTGGAGGCTGTCCTGGAACTAGCTCTTGTAGACCAGGCTGGTCTAGAACTCATAGAGATCCCCCTGCCTCTGTCTCCGGAGATCAAAGATGTGCACCACCAACCCCCGGCTGTTGTTTTGTTTTGTTTCTATTGAGACAGACATGCACCATCACACCCAGCAAGACCCTGTCTTTAAAAGCCTGACGATGGTAGTGCACATTTTTGATCACAGCACTCAGGAGGCAGAGGCAGGTGGATCTTTGTGAGTTCGAGGTCAGCCTGGTCTATAAAGCAAATTCCAGGACAGCCAGAGCTGTTACACAGAGAAACCCTGTCTCGAAAAACCAAAAACAATAAAAAGTAAAAAAGGGGCCTGATGATGCAGCTAAGTGGTAGGACCCCTGCTTAGCATGCACAAGGCCCTGGTTCTCAGTAGTCCGTTCTTCAAAAGAAGCATCTGGTCGCCTACTAGAGACCGCTTCGGTGGCACTAAGGGCAGGCAAGGAGCCTGGTATAGTGGTGCACACCTGTGTTCCCCGCCCTCCAGAGAATAGTGAGTGAAGGCAGCCTGAGCTACATAGCAAGGCCCTGACTCAAAAACGAGGGAAAAAAAGAAAAAGCAAGTAGGCAGGACCCAGTGAGGCCCAATGATAGTGACAAAGTGGGGGGTAAGAGACACTGGGGTGAGAAGTAGGGGACTGTTGGCCGGACGTCAGAGAGGGCCAGGTGGGCAGAAAAGTGCCCAGAGGCAGCCAGTAGTAGTTCTTGGAAGCGGAAGACCTGAGGCTGGACCCGGAAGGTGTCAGAGCAGCCGGAGATGGAGCCAAAGGCGCTGTGGCTGTGAGAGCTCATTGTGAGTGAAAGTGCCCTCGGTGAGGGGAAGAGAGGAGGGCCAGGGTGGGAAATCGGGTCACCCATTTCTGAGAGCTGGAAAGGACCCAGCCCGGAGAATGACCAGGAAGGCAGGAGCATCGCTTGTCCTGTCTGTTGCTGCGTCTACAGCAGGGCCTCATGACAGAAGTCCTAGCCAGATGTTTCTTGGGTGAGACGGCGAGGTGAATCGGGGGTTTTGTGGTATCTTAGAAGCAGGGTTGGCACCAACTGGGTGGACGGCACCGAATGCTTAGATAGGAGCGGAGGAGTGAGCCTGAGGTATACAGACGACAATTGTCCTAGATACTGGAAGGTTGAGGCAGAAGGCCAACCTGGGCCAGCTACACAGTAAGGCCCTGTTTCAAAAAACGGTGGAGGAGGGCTGGGTAAATGACACAATCAAGGGCACCTTGCTCAAGAGCGAGGACCTGAGTTTGGATCCCTGGCACCCACGGAAATAGGTGGGCATGGCAGTCCAGGCTGTGGTCCCAGCCCTGCGGAGGCCAAGACGGGATTCCTAGGGCTTGTTGTCCAGCCTGCATAGCCAGACCGGTGAGCTGCAGGCTCAGTGAGAGATTGAGAAAGACAGCTGGTGTTGACTTCTGGCCTCTGCACATGCATGCACCCTGAGTGCACACACAGACATGGACACACGGAGTTAGAAAGGGGACTCCTCGGGTAAGAGCACTTGTTGCTCGTACAGGACCTGGTTCTGTTCCCAGCACGCGCATGGTGGCTCACAACAGCAGGGGAAACTCATACCCATATATAAACAAGTAAATTCTAAAAACAAAACATGTTTACATAATCCTCCCGCCTCAGCCTCCTGAGGGCTGGGATTGTAGATGTGAGCCTGCGAGCTGGGCTGGAAGTTTATGAGGGTATCACAACAGTCAGCTTGATAGACTACAGAGGAGATAATTGACAGGCAGGTTCACTCATGGACTGATTGCTACTCCCCAAGTTGCAGTCCTATGTACACAGTTCCCAGTGGCTTGCTCAACAGTCGGGATCTGGGACCCCGGGGCTATCTCCCCATACAACACCTCCCACCCCTGCTGAGACCAGTCTTGGAAGGTAGGGGATTCCTCCCACTTCCTCTCCACACCCCAGCTCAGCACCTTTCAGCATGCCCTGCCCCCTGGCTCTGTACATAAATGGCCACTTTCAATATTGCCACCCCCAGCAATGTCCACCCGCTTCTCTAGCCTGACCCACTCAGCAGCCACTACTCTTCCAATGGCTTACCACCCTCTCTTGAAGTCAGATGGAACTTTTTTTTTTTTGGTTTTTTGGAGACAGGGTTTCTCTGTGTAGTTTTGGAGCCTATTCTGGCCCTCGCTTTGGAGCCCGGGCTGGCCCCGAACTCACAGAGACCCGCCTGCCTCTGCCTCCCAAGTGCTGGGATTAAAGGCCATGTGCCACCAACGCCCGGTGTCAGATGGAACTTTTACAAATTATTTTGGGGTTTTGTTTTTGTCTTATGCCATGCTGGAAACTGAACCCTCTATCTTGTAACCCTGTACCTTGTATATGCTTGGGTCAGCACTCTACCAGTTGTTTTTTTTTGGGGGGGGGCGGGGGAGAAGGTTGTGAGTGTTTGTATGTGTTTGTTTGAGTTTGTATGCTAGAGGTCAACTTTGGATTCCATTCCTTATCTACCTTGGTTTGGGGTTGTTTTTTGTTGTCTTAAAGATTTTATTTAATTTTATGTTGGTGCGTGCGTGCACACGTGCCTGTGGAGGCTGGGGCAGGGTTCGA